AGCACCACAGTGAAATTTATACGATCTAATGCGGAAGTTTTAGTCTTATCTATTATAAATGACAAAGCCACAGTCAGTTACTTTGTTTGTACACGTTTCCTGAACTAAGCTAAAAAGCTGCAGTAACTAATAAACGACAATGAAACAGTAAGACATTAAGCAGAGAAGAAATTGAACCATTCAGATCAGTTGATTTTGAACAAACCAAAATATCGCCAGTAATTATTGTATATGAAGAGTGTACGTACCCGCCATGGTTTTAGAATCATCCATTGTGGTAAAAAAATAGCACCCAGCTAGCTGGAAAAAAATTCCCCATTAAAACAGACAAATTTATCTTCTAGCTTTGCTTTCTGTCGTTCGCCAGCCCAACTACTCCCTGACATTATTAGTCGACTAAAAAACCCCAACAAGAAAATTCTGGGCATTCATCAACTGGCATTCCCTCCAGTTTTTGCATCATTAATATTACACGATGAAATGGTTACAATACTATACAACGGTCTACACTGTGATGCATTCAATGACAGGAACGATGTGCTCAACCAACAAATTTTAAACAAAACTGTATCCATTACGAGTCAGCTGTCCTTCCGTTGCCTAATACTAGTAATGCTCATAAAACAGTACGTCCCAAGACAAGCTGCTCACGTCCGTCTTAAATTTACCTGTAACACAGTTTTGCCCTGCTTTTTTAAAGCTCATGGGATTAATTTCCACTGTCAACTGCAGCCGAAATGCGTTTTAACAATTTCCTGCTTATGAATTTTAAACCCCCACGTCACCGCCGTTAATAAGATTACAGCACTACGCACAACCTAACACCCTTCACTACACTCCACCAAACAACCCAAGTTCATAACTACTCAGATTCTAAAAAACACCACATACCAAAACGAGGACAAGTCTCTGTCGTCCACCTTTTTAATATATTAAATATACCCAGCCCTAATCGCAAAAGAGATACTGGTAATTAACAGCAACTTCTACCCGCCTCAAATTACGCACGTTTGGACAGTAAACCTGATATCAAATGAGAAACCCCAACTTCAAGAAGCTAAACCTGGTCTATGTAGATATAACCATTTCTTCATATTCAAGTAAAATGCATCTTTTATTACTCAGTACATAACAAATACCAAAACACTGACAAATCATTCAGAGTAATAAGAACGACAGTATTAGAGGAATAAACCGGTAGATATTGCAACCGAAACGAAGCAGACAATTGAATTCAAAGATCACGGGAACGCTGATATGGAATCAAAGCTTATGAGAAATGCAATCAGTGGTGTTAAGCAACTCCCCATAGGCTGCCAGGAGCAGTGCCTTTTTAAATAGACCAATTTTTACAGTTAGTTATCAATTTTCAGAATCGAATATGAAATAGGGATAACTTAAAGCGTATGAAAGAAAAAGTTCAACTTTTAAAGTTTTCATCATAAAAAAAGACCTAAAAAAGTGAATGGTGCATAAATAACAAGTCAGAGTTTTTGCCGCTGATATTTCAAAGTTCAACCAAATCTCGTGAAATTAAATGCTTCAATAGATGTCTAAAGTATCACAACCCATGACTTTTAAAAAAGAATAATAGGCACCAAAAGCCATATCCAATCTGGAATGCTTATTCAATTATCACGATACTTCTCATTCAACTTGTTCAACAGCTCTTTATGAGCCATTTCTGATTCATCCGACACCTAGACGCCAAAATCCAACATGAATTAAGGGATAAGGAAAATAACACACAAATAACTTAAATTACGAGACCTGTGGCCAAACAAAGCACAGAAAAAGCCTCCGTTTTAAGAACGAAAACACGGCTCACCTGGAACTGCAGAATTTTGGCGGTACCTAGACACTGCTTGATCGCTGAAGCTGAAGAGGCGTACACCATCTTCTTTTTAATGGGAGCTCCATCGGGGCAAAGCTGCAATTCAGTCTTATAGCCCGAACGTATTAAAGTATTGATAATAACCAACACATCCTCGCTGTCAAATCTAACAATACCAATACATTCTATCTGTCCCTATGAATCAGTCAAAAACAACGTGCCTGTTTTGAAAGTGAAGTTCGGATCTTTCAAAATTCTTTTAAACTTAAAGTAACGAAAGCCAATTGATGTCAACAAAACTTTTAAGTGAAAGTATTGAAATTAAAATATTTTAAGTAAAACTATTAAATCAACATTATAAAAGCTGACGTCACCAGGAAAAAAAGTAAAAAATACTGGTGAATGAAACGATTCTGAAGTTAATAAGCCTGAACCATTAACTATTGATAAGTGGTTTCACTCAAAGCTGATAGAAAATAATGTGTCAAATTGCTCTGTTTACCATCGGAAACACCCCTTTAGCGGTACGACATACAGCACAATAGAAAACTGTTAAAATGCACTATTTGAAAAAATCAAATTCTATAATTTGCATTTCTGAATAAAGTTTCGCACCCTAGCTATGTTGTCCAAGATTTAACACATTAAACAAAGTGTAAAATTATGAATGTTCTACCAGTCACTGCCTTAAAAAATACAATGGCTCAGTAACAGAAAAAAGAAAAAAAAGAAGAACGGCATGCTTATTGTAAAACTGTATCCACAAAGTTCTTTGTAGCCAAAACACTTTCTAAAACATGTCGATAACAACGTATTCAAATTATTAGCCAGTGCACACTAAAGAAGTTAAAAGAATCAGTTTCATTCAATGATAACACACACAGAACCAGTTCCGGCTTTCTTACCTGAATAAATACAAGCTTGTCCATTTTCGAATTGCCAGCGCCAGGTCGATTACAAGTGAACTTGAAGTCAAAAACGGCGTAGCGGCAATCAGTAAGACCATTAGTACGATCTTTCAAGTCCTTCACAAACTTTTCATATGCTCCCTTAGAATTTTCATCATAGTCTTCACCAGTGATCCCCAACTTAAATGAAATAATGTGAAAACAACCTCAAAAAATTAGGAAAACATAAGTATAAAAACTTCAAAAAGCAATAAATTCCGAGCAGCTGAAAAATGACACTTAAAAACCAAACTTCCATTTTAGAAAAGAAATCATCTCAGGCAGAGATTTTCAATTTGCAAATAAATGGCAAAGAATAACTTATTATGGATTGGGAGATAATACAACATAATATACGTAATTGAAACAGCATACCAAAGAGTTGATTTCCTCAAAACATGAAAGATTACCTGGCCCGAAAAAAAAAAAGAAAAGAAAATAGAATTTAAAAACAAAAAAAGGATCAAAAAAATATAGCAAAATAAAACCTGGAGCAGAAAACCAGACTCACCTCTTCCGGGGAAACAGAGGCTTCAACAATTACTTCCTTCTCCTCAATCTTGTAAATTATGTAACGCAATTTATTTCTTCCTTCAGAAAGTTGTTGAAAAGCGTTCTGACATTCAGAATTGACTAACACTCCAGAAGACATCTTCGCAGTATCCAATTAAGGAAGAACAATCTGAAATAATGTTACTTCAGACTCATATTAAGTGCGGATGCTATAAAAAAACGACAACGCACTTTTGCAAGGGGAAAAAATCGTGAAAATATGAAGGTATAAACACTACTATTTTAATAAAACTGAGGTATACTTTCACCTACTAAGTACCATACCCGAAAAATAAACTTCATTCGTCTTACACATCCACTACATAAAAATCAGTTTAAATCATCTTTTGAACACGACAAAAATTTACAAACAACTTTGAATTTTGAAGAACCAAAAAAAAGAGATTTATTAAAATACCTGACAAAAAAAATTATTTGCAGATATTGGGCAAAAAATATCTTCAAGAGTTTTAATTCAAATAGATAATATTTTGTTCACTTCCTCAGTTTTTATACCAATACGTGACAAATACGTAACCTTTAATTTATGCATCAAACATGTGTGAATGAAAAGTTTCAACAACCAAAGTGTACAAAGTTAAAAAATTAAAAAGATAAAAAAAGGTAAATTTTTACGCATGAAATTTCAAAACCGCAAAATTATGTGCAAAAAATACGCCCAACGCAGTAATCAAAGATCCAAGCGACAAATAAACGTACATTTGATTAAATTTTATGGCCTGAAAAGCCATCACAAAAAATACTTTTTACTTCTCTCGCAAAAGGTTTTCTTCCAGCAACAAAGTTATTTGAACACAATAGTGACACAATAAGCACTGTGAACCAGTAAATTCACCCTTATACACAGCCGATGAGAAGAGTTCAAAAAGAATAAATTCTGTCACTGTCATTCACACCATCATAAATATAGCTTTATACTCTATGAGTACAAAACCGAAAGAAAAGAAAAAAAAAACAACCGACCGAAAATCAGCAGTACGTAAAACTTCCAAAAAAATACTACATACATGTTTTCTAATTTCTGCTATATTTTTTTTATTTAATAAGAAATCCTAATCCAAGAAAAACAAAAAAAAAAAAAAAAAAAAAAAAAAAAA